AGGGGGGAGGTCAGAAACCATTTCCAGTGTACAGATTAGTAAGTGGAAATTCAAACGACAAGTTAAATGACTGGTCTAAGGTCACACCGTTTCAGAAACCAGGATTTGAGCAAAGACAGTCTCACTCCAAATCTAATGAGGTCCCATGACCCCGCACTGCCTCTCAGGATGGGAGAAACGAGGAGTAACCTAACAAGAGGTACTTTATCGTAAACTTTGTGGGGACACGCCATCAGGGCTTGCCCCTGCCACGTCACAAGGATCCGTCAAGCCGGCCCCGATAAAGGGACACAGGCCCCCAGTGACTTTGAAGTGAAGGCCCAGGGTGTGTGCAGAAAGACCAGAAAGGCCCGCTGACCAGAAACAAGTCCCAAACAAAAAGGAATATAAAGAGCAGGCGGAAGGGGGTGTACACAAAAGCTCAGGATGGTGAATTTTAGAGACGGCTGTTTCCTTCATTGGTCACTTGTTTCCCCGTCTTGTGTGGATTCCAAGTAGGGATGTAAAAACGGGCCTTGAACAGCCCCTTTCCGCCCCTTTCTCCTACGAGAATCATCTGTTCCCCCTGTCAGTTGAGTGAATTTCATCCCCTCCCACCAGGGCCCCTGCCCTGTGAGGGGAGGAGAGAAAATTCTGTTCACAGATCAGCTTCCTCCAAAGTGCTCACCAGCCAAGGCAGCCGGCGCCGCGAGAGGCTTTCAAGAGCAGCCCTGAAGGTGCTCCCCGGACTTTGTCCTTTTCAGAGCACAGCTTTTAAGACCCTGCGCTGAAAATGCAAGCCCAGTCGCCGGTGGTCGTTGTGACGCAACCCGGATATGGTCCCGCACCCCAAAACTCCAACTGGCAGACCGGCATGTGTGACTGCTTCAGCGACTGTGGAGTCTGTAAGTTCTGGGAAAAGGGCCCCCTAACTGACACTGAGGTGAATTTCCGATGCCCGGTCCTTCCCCCGCCCTTCCTTATTGTGCAGTAAACGTTTCTAACTTGTCACAGGTACCCCGCATGTCAGGCCGTGGTCTGTTTAACCCAAGAAAGCTCTATACTGATTGCAAGTTCGTTCTTCCCTAGCGCTTCAAAGAATAGTCTCATTCCTAACATAAATTTCAGAGTCGAGATAACAGTGACAGAGCTAATTGATTCTAACGATGAACGGGTCTGGTCTAATGATTATAAACAGAGTTTACATAAATTTTAAAAAAATTTTCAAGTCTAACTTGATTTAAAAAAAAAAAAAAAGACTGTTCTCGTTACACATAAATGAAACTCATTATTTTATACTCACATTCTGTCCAGTACATGGATAGTTTTCATCCGTGGTTTCAGAATGAGCTCAGAGAAGAACTATTTTAATTTATACATTTAGATTGTTGACACACCCGAGAACAAAGAATTCTGAAGGCCATTAGCTTGTCATCGGGAAAAATATCTCTGACTGTTTTCTTTTTATACGATGTCTCTAAGTGGGATCTCTCTGAGAGATCTCTCACTTAGAAATCTTTCTAAGTGAACTCGGAGGAAAGGAAGTTTGGGATGGGATGGGGCTTGCGGGGAGGATCAAGGTGCTTAGTTCTCAGTACTAAGCAAGGAACAAACCCACCTACAGAAAGTCTGCCCTGCAGTCCATTTGCCTGTCTCAAGTCCCCACTGTGTTCTTGGACAAGGAAAGAAAATACATTAACCTTTAACTTGCCAGTTGAAGTTGAACTTTGAAGTGAATGGAGTCACTAATTACACTGAGAAGCATAGAAAGGGAAAATTACCTAGGAAATGGAACAATTGGGTTTGTTTATTTGCTCCCCTTATCTTACCAGATAATCTGGGGTAACTCCTGCAGCTTTTCAGGGGAGCAGTTCAGCATATGCAAATCAAAATGATAATTATTACCCAATCAAATG